TTGAATCTAATGTTCCGGAAGGTCTGTACTAATGTCACATGCAGTTCAGTAGCTCATAAGTAAGTTTTTCTTCAGTCATGAGAGAGTCAGTAGTCCCTTAGGGATGATGAAATGCACCTACTGAGCTTTTCACATACAAAATATTGAAAATTCTTTACGATTGATTGATCACTAAGTAGTGACCAATGTCATATATATCTAGTCCTCCTTAGAAGATAACGAATTCCATCGATCAAATTTCAATTCGACCATTAGTCTAAGTGATAAGTCATTGTGTGCACGATATAGAAATGTAGGATGCTTTGAAGTAGTCTACAGAAAATCCTAGACGTAGACATCGTCCTACAAGAGATCATTTGTGACTCGAACAACTCAATGGTAACCTCCCTGTTTGTGAAGCTAATTGACATGGGATCGATTTCATGAGAAAGAATTGATTCCCCCCAAGATTGCAGTTACACCTTGCTGATGAATTTATTTTTTGTTTATTTATTTGAACATATAAATATTGGTATAAAGGAGCACCGAATACATATGCACCACACAAGCCACTTGATTTGTATGTGGGCTGTGATACTGCCCGGGTGCCCGAACCGAAGCAGGTGGTTTTCTTAAGGGGCCACACCCGGATCATTCGACCTAAAGGTCTGATCCACAAGGCAGTGGAGCAACGTTAGGAGATACAGTCTCCTGGTAGCCACTGACCAACAATAGGTTCATACGCCATTTGTTTCTTCAGGATCCTGTATCCCATGTGCACCGTCGGCTTGAAATCAAGGTCTACCAATCTTGGTAAAGTGCCAGAAATTCGCTTTTCATCCTCTCAATTTCGTAAACAATAGTAATGCTACAGGAGAAGGCAATGAATAGGACTTTCCTTCCAGTGGTTGTATGCACGTGGCCATATGAAAGCATTTTAAAAAAGTGAGCTGATTCTCCCCACCCTCGGCAGTACATGGAGCATTTGGAGCCTTGTTCATAAATACATATTGCTTACACATAAATTGGTACCTGCATACTTTATTTTGTTATTTTTAGATAATTTAGACATGATAAAGATTTAACATTGTTAATAGAACAAAAACTCATTTCTACCAATTAATGGTGATAATAAACTTATGGAAAGAAAGATGTTTGTTTTTTTTCCTTCAAATTAGATAAGCAAAAGCATATAAACAATGTTCAATCTCATAGTGTTTAAATGTAACTAATTAGTTAATTGATTTTTGTTTTATCTTGCACACTTATGAGAAGAAGAAAACAACAACAACAACAACAACAAAAGCATCCTTTTTTATTCCCCCTCTATAGAACCACCTTCAATAGACCATGTTTATTTTATTGTTCAAGACATATGCTCATGTCGAATAATGATTCTCATAATTATCACCTTTCTATTCGTGTTAATGAATGATGAGTATGTCGTTTGTATAGGTGTGTATGCTTGAAACAAACAAACGAAAAAAAGAATTCAATAAGAAGTATGGTAATTTCCGTTTTGAATCATTTTTTTTTCAATATTCAATTATTATTATTTTTTAAGTTCAATGTTCATTATCTTAATCATTCACATGATGTGTTTTCGCGTGAGTCAATAATGAAATTTGTTTGTTTTTCTTTATTTTATTGTTGTTGTTATTGTTTTTCTTTGTTGTTTTTGTGGTTGTCGTTGTTGTTGTTGTTGTTGCTGTTCTGATATTGTTTTTTAATGTAAGAAAGAATAAGATAGAGAGTTTCTTACCTACTGATATCCATGGAAGAACAATACATAGTTCGTATGAGAAAATATTTTCTTTTCAATACTGAACAAATTCATGATTAGCTTATGATTTGTATTAAAGAACCTTGGTTAATGTTCAAATCATTCGGTTCATGATCTCAATCAAAAACTTAATAATCTCCACAAACCCTATACTAGTAATTAACATGTGCTCACTAGTGACTAGCTTCGTGAAGGAATTCTCGGAGTTCTAGTGAGAAGCCGTGACCAATGGAGCTAATCCATGTCGGGTAGAGACAGGTATCTACTTAAGTACAATGGAAGATGGTCATGCAATTTCGTGGATTGGTTGATGTTAGACACTATCACCATTGGATGCTGGCTCAGTGGTCCAGTAGGCTAGGCGTTCGCACGAGAGACTGAAGGCCCTGGGTTCGAATCCCTTGGGCGGGATCGTGGATGCGCACTGCTGAGGAGTCCCATGATAGGACGAAACGGCCGTTCAGTGCTCCCAGGTTTCCAAAGGTGGTTTGGCATCAATCTGTTCATGATCTCAATCAAAATTCTCTAGAACGTGGAAAAATCTAGGAATTCATTCATTATGCTATTTTTTTAGTCTAATTGACAAGGTACTCGAATTACTGCCAACTTGAGAATGTTTCTGAAAAAATACTTATATAATTCAACGTTTATTTGTAACGCGGATTTAGTAGCTAAGTGGTGTTTCCAGTAAAAGGTGTTGTGTTCGAGTTTTTGAGTGACTATCAACTCTGACATACAAATATATCTATCTGATGAGTCCCGAATGGGACGAAACTCATATCCTAGATTCCACTACTAGTCATCGTCCATCTCTACGTTTTGATTTATATGTGTGAAATAATTTTATGAGTAAACTTGATTTTCGATTTCTATTTAGGTTTGAATCGTTGAATATTATGAGAATATATAAATCGACTAAAATATTGATGTCTTAAACATCTAATGCACTAAGCTTGTCAATTTAACTGTTATCGTTTTAAAGAGTTAGATATTTTTAATGCATACATCTGTAAAATGCAATATTTGATTGGATTTAGACACTGTTTGATGTAGGCTCAGTGATTTGGAGATTAAACATTCGTGCAAGTGATCAAAAGTCCTAGTTTAGGTTCGACGATATGAGGTCGTGGACGCACACTCTGAAGAGTCTGATTCCTGAATGAAACGAATTCCAGAGCTTTCAGGTTTTTAACGGAGCTTAACGATAATCAATTCATGATTTGCAAGCTATGAAAACACTATAATCTCTCCACAACCCCATTCTGAAAATGTAATATTTGTTAAACTTTAACAGAGTTAAAAAATTATAATTAAATTACTTTAATAACATAAAGTTAACAATATTGGCAGTCATCATCGCAAATTAGGTTTAAGATTCTTACTTACAGGTCGGTTTTTCAATTTTCAGCTGAATGGTGTCTGCTACTTATATCTGTCGACATAAGTAGTATGTCACACCAATCGGAATAGGAAAACCAGGCAGCAGAAGATTAAGAAGATCAAGTTGAAGAGAATGGAAGGCAAAATAGGGAAGAATCGTGAACTGAAGGAAACACACAGAATATGAAAGACAAATGATGGAAATTTACAAATGAAGTATTCAATGTAAGGTGGTATTATTTATACATTTGATCGTTACCAACTGACTAACTTCCATGACAGTATCAGGCTGTAAACATCTGAAAAGAATCCATGAAATAAACAAATCCATGCAATCCTGCCATAATTTTTGTTCGTTATTTATTCAAACTCGACATTAATACTGACCTTGTTATTTTAACGAATGCTATAGACTGAAAGCTCTCATTCAAACAACATAATCATTATCCCTACTTACACTGTATGAGATCCTTCTCCGTCTCAAGATGATCAACAAATACCATTTATGTTCATCTATCTTTTCTTACGTTCAAATATACAGCTCCTCCAAACTACAATCGGATTCTTCTCCGTTTATTTCAGTAGTAACTTGAGTAAGGTATTTAAAAACCAGTGTTTTCCGAATCGGATACATACAATTCCATGAATAAAACCCAATAAGTTCGTGTAAAGGAAGTAACAGTTACAAGTTGTGGTCCATCAGTTTGATTGAACAAAATATTTTTTACAGACATTATAAACTTTACATTGGATCAACGAGCTCTGCGGTCCCTGAATTCAATACCTGAGAAGGCTGTGTAAGAGTAAAGAGGAGTAATCCCATACTAAGACTGAAAAGCTTTACAGTGTTTCCTGGCTTCTAATAATTGTCTAACTAAAATCAATTATTGATGTAATCCAAAAGTCAAGCATTGCTTCCTGCCTAATACTGGCTTACTTTTTCATGAACAAGTTAAGCCAGATGGGTAGCTAAACGTTCAAACAGAAAGATATAACCAGTTTGAGCTAATTAATCTGTCGGCATGAATAAATCGCCTACCAATTGAACTGTTTAATGTTTGATACTATATCTTAGAAGTAGCTAAACTTGAAAGATGGTTGATCTCTGAAATTATACCTAATTATCAAAAAGAATTCTGTGGAGATTTTGTCAATTTTATAGTTGAGTTCATGAGTTAATTGAAGCTAGACTACCATGGAAAACCTGGACGGCTGTATCATCCTAGTATGAGACTCTTCAACAGTGCGCATCCACAAACCCGCCTCCCGAGAGTCAGACCCAGAACCTATCAGTCTCGCGAGCGAATGCTTAACCTCTAGACCACTGAGCCGACCGGCATTCAACGGTGTTTTGCCTAATTGTCATATACTAATGTTCTCATATCGACACCTAAAAATTTTAAACTTCATCCTGTACAAGGTGAACGGTGAACATTTTATATCTCCATTCCTATCGAATTTCCATATAAAAACATATAAATATATATATAGTAGTTTAATTATTTGGAATCAGCCTTATATAGTAGCCGATTATGAAACAGATTACCTGTAAAGATTAGACAATAACATATCTAGACTAATCTAGACTTTAGTTGTTCATGTATATTCCAATTATGTTTTTTTAGTTTCTTATTGATATTGTCAATAGTTGTATATCTACTATTCTAACAATTTCCAACCATATATGTATTCGTTTTAAGTGAAATAATTATAATAACATTACTGTCAAATTGAACAATTACACTATTCTAATAGATTGTAGTAACCATATGTAATTTTGTTTTAAAATGCATAAAACCAAGGTGAAATCATAGTTACACCCTTGAATATTTAATACCGTTGTTTACTCGTTTATAAGAGTTAACACTGACACATTTACAAGAAATTACGCCCATCAATACTACTACTACTACTACTACTACTACTACTACTACTACTACTACTACTACTACTACTACTACTACTACTACTACTACTACTACTACTACTACTACTACTACTACTACTACTACTACTACTACTACTACTACTACTACTACTACTACTACTACTACTACTACTACTACTACTACTACTACTACTACTACTACTACTACTACTACTACTACTACTACTACTACTAACATTAATAATAATAATAATAATAATACGTTAGTTACTAGATTCATAAGCGTTGAATCTCAACGATGTTCGACGTGAAACTTTCATCAATGATGATAATATAATATACAAGTATAACGATGAATAAAATCAGTGGTAATGTTAAGTTTTCATTTTTTATTTTGTATGCATCATCTAAGGTACCAACTCATCCTTCCCCCTCTCAACAAATTTTCATCTCTGTTTTACTTCTTGTCTTAGGGTATTCAAAAACACTGTCAGTTATGAGGTGAACTATATAATGACTTGTTGTACTACTAACTCTTTGATACTATAGGATTGATGATAGTTAGCAGGTAAGCATGGTTCTAGGTTTCTTTCTAGCCATCCTTCGTCAATAACGAGTATCTGCAATTTCCAGAGAATAATCTCCCTAGTAGATTCAAGTCAGTGTAAGCCAGCTTCATAATCTGACACTTTAGTATATACTATTCCCAGAACTATTGAGCTCCGTTGTTGCAGAGATATTTACACAAACTTGTCAGTTAGCAGGGACCAATATTGTTCTGGGAAACTGAACGATGCAAGTCCAAAATTTTTTTAAACAACGAAGATGAAAAAATACATTCTTCCGTCACAAAGCAAAATTGTTGAAAGTATCAGTAAATACTGAAGACAGATTATGTCACTACTCATTAATATCAATATTGGAATGAAGAAAACACTGTTTCTTTTGTAATTTTCATCTCTTTTTAAATGTCCCGTTTTAACTCCACAGGAGGTTAAATATAAAGGAATTACGTTCCCTCAAAAAAAGTTAAACCATTAAATCTAGACTCTACAGATCGAATTTACAACTTGATCCGATTCATTATAAAGTACAATCTTTGGTCAGCCTTATTTGTATAGCAACTATTATACTTTTTACTTTGTTGATATTACATAAAATGACTTGGAAAATTGAATTAAATCAATCATCTAACCTACTTCGTTTCGACTCTTTGATTGTGAATGATGGTGAATTTCTTATTCCAATGTTTCAACGATCAATTTATCAAGGATTCTCTAATTGGGTTCTATTCATGACAAAAATAAATCACTTTAAACCACCTATTAAAATATAAATAAATAATTTTTTTGGTTTGATATCACGGACTGACTTTGAATAGAAAATCATTGAAAACCAAAGAACAAAAAATGCATTGTGTAGTTGTTTCTCCCTGGTAATCTTACTCATCATCTATATGCAGACATGATCCCATCAACAATCAAATGCTAAGCCTTCAGCTGTCACGGAGAGAAATTAATCTTCAGATCTTGCTGGGGCTTTATTCTCTGAGCTGAATGGTTTAGTCGTGAAGCTTTCATCGTTCTTCTGAACAACATCATCAGGTAGAAGTGAAATGCTCGAAATACTCCATCTGTGGTTCACAGCTTGTCCTGTACACCTCGATGTTGATTGGTTCTTGTTGTTTACCTTAGACTTTTCATAATTTACTTCTTTGTTTTGATTGTACAGGACAGGCTGTGAACCACATGTGGAGATATTAAAACATTTCACTTGTACCTGAAATTTGTGCTGATGAAATCATTCAGAAGAACGATGAAAGCTCCACGGCTAAACTATCCAGTTCAGAGAACAAAACTCCATCAAAATCATCCATCTGAACTACAAATCTTCTCCATAATCTTCAGATCACTGAATTAGTACTCAATGATTCTTATTTGCCAGATTCAACCAAAATTCAACATACACTCTTTAATCCATACCGTTCTCTATAGGCATTAGCAAAGAAATCATCAGAATTCAGCTATATCATCAATCTAATTTCAAATATTTTAACTCATTTCTTCCCTATTGTTCTCATAAGTTATACGTAAACAATCTTCTGTTGTTAGAAAGATTGTTATTTCTGACATTATGGTTGTATATATTTGTACAACTGCAACAAAGATCAATATAATTGAATTTCATCTATTTTTTTTTTCATTTGATTTTTCTCGTTTTGTTTCATACTCTTACTCTCTCCCTCTCTCTCTCTCGCTGTCACTCGCTGTCTTTCTCTTTTTGTTTCTATCCCCTTCTTGTTTTACATTCTTCAACTGACTTATATTGATAACGATTAAGTAAAAAGAGAAAAAATATGAATAGTTCAAATAATTCTATCTAGAATATCATTGTTTCATAGGTCTATTTCTATTCGTTTATTCATTTTGTTTACTCTAAATATTTAAAATTAAAACAAAACTGTCAATTTCAATGATTAATACATATATTTATTCAATTCATCAATTAATTAATCAGTTAATTAACTATTATTTTCAATAGTTGAATTCATGAGTTGATTAAAGCTAGGCCACCATGGAAAACCTGGAGGCATTGGATGGTCGTTTCGTTCTTAGTATAAGACATCTCAACAGTGTGCATCCACGATATCATACACTTAATTCTAACTCAGGACCTTCGATCTCGCGAGCGATTGCCTAACCTCTAGACCACTGAGCCAACTGGCATCCAATGGTGTTAATGTCTAACTGCAACTAATCTACGATATTGTGCAATCGTCCACCTCTGTCTTCAGTGAGTAACTTTCACTAAAATAGACAGCGTCGAAATCCACGCGTGCGGGATTGTGGATACACACTCCTGAGGAGTCCCATACTTGATCGGAACGACTATCCAGTGCTTTCAGGTATTCTATAGTGGTCTAGCTTTAACTGACTCACGAATTCAATTACTAAAATTTACTACAATATCCACAGAACACCCCCAATCTGATAATAATTAACTGTTTTTTAACTTCATTCTTTCTCTGTTTATCTTAAATAAAATTAAATACCAAACAGTATGATAATCATTTCAAACATCGTAAGTTATATCTAATATGCATCCACTGCCAGGGAAGTCCTACTCACTGCATTCCCGTAACAGGGGTGTTGTTTACAAAATTGAGAGAACGAACATAGAAAATCCACCTGGAGGAGTTGGAAAACCTTAGTTTCAAACCAATGGTGCACATGGGCTCCAGAATCCTGAGGGAACAAATGGCGTATGAACCTGTTGTTGATCACTGGCTATCATGGAACTGCATTTCTCAATGTTGCTCAATTGTCTTGCGGACCAGACCTTTAGGTTGAATGCTCCGGGTGTGGCCCACTAAGGAAACCACCTGCTTCGATTTGGGCACCCGGCTAGTATCATAACCCACACACAAATCGAACGATTTATGTGGTGCATATATATTCAGTGCCCCTTTATACCAATATTTATGTGTTCAAATAAATAAATAACATAATATAAATGGACAATCATAATGTATTGAAATAGAAAGAATCGACTGACTGTTGGATTGACCCGAAACTGAATTTTTGTCTGTTTGTTTTTAATTTAATTTTTCAGTTATTGTCATCCTGTTATCTATCACTTATTTTGTTCTATTTAAGGATAAGAACCATGATAGATGACATTGATAATTGAACAAGTTTTGCTTTGTCAAGGCGAAAACTTTAAATTTCTCTGGTATATTTTAACTTAAAAAAGAAAAACTAACTTCGGCTTTCGAGATCTAAAAAGAAATAATACTCAGAACAAAACGGATTAACATTTTATGACATAAGATAAGCGAGTTTGCTCGAAGAAATACATTGACTTGAGTAGTAGTAGTAGTAGTAGAAGCAAACATCGAGAAAACAAAGCTGAATCAAAGAAAATTTGCGCCAATATTTAGAGTGTTTACATTAATTGCGGCATTTTAATACACTGAAACATTAAATTATACAAAAGAAATAGCGAGGGAAAAGAATACAGAAAGAAGAAAACCGACCTCCCTTCCTTATAAAGATGATGGATATAATCGTTCCCGCTTCATTCTGATTGGTCGCTAAGAAGGCTTCTATGATTACGAAATCGAATTGAGTTTAATTGCAGCCTATTTTCAACTAAAGAATATATTAATCAGTTCAATCTGTTTTTATTAAAACAGCAGCAACCTACTGTGGGAGAGAACAAACCAGATTCTAGTAAAGGAAGAAATAAGGAAGAAGCACTGGAAGTGGATAGGACACATATTGAGGAAAACAACCAACTGCGTCATAATACAAGCCCTCACATGGAATCCTCAAAGCCAAAGGAGAAGAGGAAGAAGACCAAATAACACGTTACGTCGAGAAATGGAGACATACAGGAGGAAAATGAACAAAAATTGTAAAGAAGTCGAAAGGAAGTCGGAGGACAGAGTGAGTTGGAGAATGCTTGTCGGCGGCCTATGCTCGATTGTGAGTAACAGGCGTAAGTAATAAAAAAGATAAATAAGTGTTTCAATACATGTTTGCTTAAACAAGCACTCCAATCTACAAATGTGCTATAAATCTAACATAATTTAACTCTAGAATGGATATTCAAATTGATTTCTTTTAATTTAAACAGACATTTGTCTATGCACATATTTGGTATTTGCTTGCTAATAATTTAGAAACACTTAAAATTATCTAATCATGATTAGTCTATTGGAAAAGGTTGTGTGGGGATTGTTTAAGTCTGTTGGTAAATTTTATTAGGGATTGATCTCATTCTGGGAATCAATAAATACCAGAGGGTAATGATAAGTTGTTTTATTTTAGTATGGAACTCCTAGGTAGTCGTCGCCCAAAACTTAACTAGGGATCATATCAAGGACCTAAACGTTTAGCGATAAATGTATAATCATCAAAACCACTGAATCTGCTTCCCTACTAGAATCGTGAGTGAGTACTGGTGAAGAGTCTCATACTAGGACAAAACAGATGTCTAATTCTCTCTAGTTTTCATTGGTTTCTTTAACGATCACAATCAACATTTATAATTTTTAGTAAGATATGAAGTAGACGATCAATTAGGTTTTTTTGTAGCTGACCAACTGTTCAATACCCATCTGTGACAACATTGTGACAAAATAGTATCCTCAAATTTTAAAAAGAATCTTCCAAAATTCAGTTTTATGAATTATCATCAAATGTGCAATCCTACGCTTAGTTAAAAACATCTCATTAAATATTGAAATTATTGACTCTGTGAATTAGGTAAGTAGCTGGCCGCTTTATTAATAAACGATTCATGTCAA